TGTTTTTGTAATTTCTATTATTATAATTTCCTCTTCTTCTGCTTAGCTAAGCAGACTTTCTAATTTCAAACCTTTAGTCTTGAGTTTATTAATATTGTGACATGTCAGCTTTATTTATTTTTTGTCTTTTTTTTATTTTTCTTTTAGTAATTTTTGTTTATCTTTATACTTTTAATTCTTTTTTTTCTCTACTATATATGTTTCCTTCTTGATAAAAAGTTTCTACTTTTTTTCTTTCTTTAAAATTTTTTTTTTATTTTGTAAGAACTCTTCAATCTTCTTGTTTATATTTATTAATTTAACTATGGCACTCTTAGAAGCAATTAGATTGGTCTATTCTATTCTTTTTACTGTTTTTCTCTAGTCTTTTTAATCTTTCTAGTATTAGGCCTAATATATCTTTAACATGTAAAATTCTTTCTTATAGCCTTATTTGAACTATCTTTTTCTTCTTTATTTTTTCTTGACTCTAGTCTTTAGTTGCTACATTTCTTCTATATTATATTTTATTTCTGTAGTCTTTCAATTACTTCTGTTTTCTTTTGATTCTACTTTCTTTTCATATCTATTTATTAGTTTTTTGTATTCTTTAGTTCTTCTTCTGAGCTTGTATCTTTTTATATATCTCTTTTTTCTTTGTATTTTTTGTTTTTTGCTACTGTCTTCTTGTATTTTTTTATTATCTTTTTAAGCTTTAAATTTCCAAAATATTAGAACTCTGTTGTACCAACCTTTTTTTTTAGTAACTATATTCATGTTTGTTTGGTTTTTAAATAATATTACTGCATAATCTCTTGGCTTTTTCTATCTATTTAGTAGATATATATTGTCATTATTTTATTAATCTTAAGTTCTCTTAAAAGAATTAGTTTAGATATTTTTTTTAATATTTTTTTTAGTTTTATTGTAAAATAATTTTTTTCTTTTTTTCTTTCTTCTTCTTCTTTACCTATTGTCATTCTTATTATTTTTCTATTTCTCAATATGATTATCTATAGAAATATTTATTCAGTCTCTTCTTTAACTTTAATTATTACTGTTGTCTTATATATACTTCTTCTTATTTTGTATAAAAATATATTTTCTACTTTTCTTACTAGGTACTTAATCTCTTATTCTGAGATCTTATTTGCTAGGTTCTATATAGTAAGTATTACTAAGTTTTTTTTGTTTTTTGTGTTTGTGATTTTTTTCTTTGACTCTTTATTTTATTTTTTATTTTTCTTTTCCCTTTTGCATCTTTCTTCTTTTTTATTATTTTTCTTTTTTTTTTTGTCTTCTTTTTTTCCTTAGTTTCATTTTCAGTTTTGTGTTCTTTTGTATTAAGGATTATTCTAAATTAGTTATTGTGTTTTCTTTAGATCTTGTTAATTACTTTTTCTTAACTATGTTTACAATTAAAAGTAACTACAATCCAAGCATTACTTCTTTTAAACACTTCTTTTATTTTTATCATATATTTGTTAGATATTATTAGTCTTTTTACAAACTTCCTTTTCTTTTTTTTGAGCTATCTAACACATTATATACTAGTATTTTTTGTTATATATATTGGTTTCTTGCTACAATTTCTGTTTGCAGATGATTATATATTTTGTTCTAATAATGTTTTTATAAAACTGCTTCTCTCTGCTTTATAATTCTATTTTTTTCTTCTTTCTTCTTCTTTTTTCTAATTTCTAATTGTTGCTATTATGTCTTAATAATCTTGTTGCATTATATTTATTTTTAATATTTTAATTTTCTTTTCTATATACTTGTTTATTGTTGTTCCTATTACTGCACTTGTGTTTTCTATGTCTTTTTTATTTCTTCTTCTTTTTTATTATTCTTTTTTCTTCATTTATAGTTTGTTAAAATTCTTTTTTCTTTATTACTATATTTACTATTTCTGTCATTTGTCTCATCTTCTCTATATATATTTCTGATATAACTAATTCTTCTTTTGATGTTATTTGATTTTTCTTACTATTTATACTTTTTATTACTATTAGATGTTAGCTTATATAATTTATTTCTTCTGTCTATTTTTCTATACTAGTTGAGTTTTTTATATTTATTTTAATTATTGCTTTATATTTTTCTTAGTATTATCATTTCTATTAAGTTTGTTTTTCATAATATTACTGCAACTATATCTTTTACATTAAAGTAGTTATCTTTATTTGCTAGTTCTTGTTTTAATTTTTTATTATCTAAGGGATAGGGTTCCATAGCCTAGTAGTCTAGGCACCCTTCTCTCTACAGACAAGGTTGACGATTTAATCCCAGCTGAAGGCAACTCTGTAATCTACGGAAGCATATGAATGTACGCAAAGCCCTGTGGCTAAGTCTATGTGATTAGAAGATCGGTATATAAGGAAGTTACTGGAAAAAAGATTTCCAATATGGAGAGTTGGTGCTCGATGTGAGAGAAGTGATGAACATTCCAGAAATGAAGAGAAGGTGCACTAGTAGATGATATGGTGAATATAAAAGGAAACTATAGAAAAAGAATAAACTTACCAAAATTCAAACACTTCTGGCACCAAACCGGTTCTAGTAGATACAGGATCTACTAAAATTGGATAAATTTAAGGAGTAATCTTGGTATCATACTTAGTAAGTCTGCATCGAGGGTAAATTCGAGGGACTATGGATACCTGGTAACATCCAATGAGGTAGTACCTTAATATAAATAGTAATTAGATAGCCCTAACCTGGTATGTCCATATGATAATAGAAGCATTGCATATATGCAATAGGATTGAAATCAGAAAGTTTAAATAGGGGATTCACAGACAGATCTCAAATATGACAGCTAGTGGGTAACTCTTAGGCGGAACCCTTAATTAGATAATGACTAAAGTTATACATGTGACTAGTTGTACTTTCATTGATAGACTTTGTATATACTTGAATAATAATATATTACTCAATAAAAACAGACAGGCAAGATTGCCACTTTAAAATAAAAAAAAAAAATTTTTTATTATCTATAAGTTTTAATATTGCTTCTGTTCTTTCATTTACCAACTTTAGTGTTATAAACTCTTCTGGTTTTATATGTATTAACATTTGATTATATTTATATAATTATTTTTAGATGTTTTTATCATATGCGTTTTGTAATACTTACATGTCTATCCTGTCTATTTTTGTACATATTTGTTTGTTTGTTTCTTTATATATTCATATGGTCCAAAATGATTTACAATTTCAGGTTAATATTGTTTTTCTAAAATTTTTTTTTGGTTTTCATTTCATCAAGTTTGTCTTCTTTTTACTTGTTATATCTTTTATTTTCTTATTATTGTATCTGCTAGGTCTGTTTTAAATGTTTTTTCTTTTTGTCTAAGTTTCTAACTATTATTTTAATACTAGTTTTTGTATAAAATTTAATTTTCTTTTTTGTGAATTTGTGTTTTGGTAATCTATAAAGAGTTGTGTTTTTTGTTTCAAAGCTCAATTTATTTACTTATTATAAACTTATAATATTATATATTGATTACAAAAATACTTAAAATCTAAAATTTATAAAATTTTTTGAAGATTTTTTTAAAGAAACAAATTAAATTTATTAAAAAAATTTTTACTCAATAAAATATTTATAAAATTATAATAGAATATATATTAAAAAATAACTTAAAATCTATATTATATAAAGCTATAATAATTTAATAAAGTAAATAGATTGTTAACTTTTAAGTAACAGATCTAAGATTTATTTGTTATAGATACTAAATTTTAAAAATTATAACTATATTATAGTAACTGTCTATTGTCAATTGGTTAAATTTAAGTATCTGTAATCTTAGATATACTAAGTTGGATTCTATCTAATATTAGAAACTTAAGATATTTATGCAAAATATAATATTATAATATATAAAGAAATGTGAAAAACTAGTATTATATAAGTCTTTAATGCAAATTTATGATAAAACCATTAAACATAGAAAACTAAGAAACTGAGAAAATAAAAAACTACTTGAAAATCCTAAATAAAAAAGTAATACAAACTTTCAATGCTGTTATTGGATAATTGAAGCTTATGAAACACCTTTAAAGAAATAATCTTATAAACTGAATAACAAATATGTAAGAAAACATATATACCAACCAAGTTGTTAGAATTGCTAGAAAAAAATATATATAAGTATACTATATTAGATCATCTAAATTGGTAATTTGAAGAATTCTATTGGTTTTGAGTAGCAGTTAATAAAAGAAGATAAAAAAGATATCAGAAAAATAGATACCAGGATTTGAGTAAATTTTACAAGAATAAAAATAAGTTAACAATTAGTCTTGATTGCAAGTGTTGATTTTGGTTATAATATAACCAGATCAGCTGTAAATAAGAATACAGAAAGCTTTAAGAGGTTTATCTTAAAGATAAAAATGGTTTATAAATTATAGTCTTAAGATTAAGACAAGGATCTAGGTTCTAGATAATTTGGAAAAGTTATATAAGTAAATTAAAGACACTAAGTTATGTTTAGTAAAAAATTAACCAATTACAATAAAATTATCTATATATAGAAGACCGTTTTGGGACTGAATCGAACCATAAGTACTATGTAATCAGTCTTACTAAGGACCGGATCAGACCGGATTGATGCACCCCTACTTTTTTGAATAGATGAAATTATAAAAAATATAAATATATAAATTTAATTTTATGAAAAAGTTTTAAATTACTTTAATAAAAACATAATAAAGTTCTTTCAAAAATCAGTTTTAGAAACATTACTAGCAATAAATTATAAAATTCTTTCTTATATTTTAACAAAAATTTTCTTATAACATTTTAATATAAATTATGATTTGTATAACTTTAATCTTGGTTTCAATCTAATTTTATATTACATTAATTTTGCATTTACATATTAAGATCTTCTACAGTTAAGGTTGACAATAGAATCAGAAAGCAAAAACAATGCAGTGTTTATTTACTGTTATGGATGGTATGTTTGATTGCTCTTCTTTCTTGCAAATACTCTTTTATGTTGGAATACCATTTCTTCATTTGGAGTTTTTAGTTCATTTTCAGAGTTATTTATTAAGTCATCAAATTCTTCAAATGAAATTTTCATTATAGGAGCTACAAGACCTTTCAGAGTTTTGAAAAAAAGTAAACAATTTTCGCAAGTAAACTCTGCGAAAGCATGGTCACTTATGAGCGGAATTTTTGCTATTTGATGCGATATATTTTCAGCCTTTCCGGTATTTTGGAGATATGTTTCAAAGTTTGTCATAAAAAATCTATAATCAATGTAATATGACATGTATAACGAACGCACTAAATGATTATGAATAAATCGAGAAAATATTTTAAATAAGTAAGACCCTCTAAATATAATACAGCACTCTTTAAATGTCTCAAATATACATAATCAAAAGTTAGATCTCTGCATTTTGGGTCTCACTATGTATATATATTAAGATAAATGTACTATAAACATACCTCCGTCAAAGATTCGTGAAAGTGCTGATCCAGGAAGACCTTTATAAAAACATGGATATACAACCTAATATAGTATAACCAAAATTAGAGTTCATGAATACAATATATAAGGTAAGTTAAAAATAGACTCTTTCTCACCTCTAACCAGCCTCCCGGCTTTAATACTCTAAAGATCTCCAATACAAAATTTTGAATATTATCATTTTTGAAGAAAATATATTTATCTCGAGAAAAAACATAATCAAATTCATTATCGGGAAATGGTAACTTTTTAAGAATATCACATTTAATAAATGTAATATTGTTATTATCGTTAGCGCTAGAATCTGGTATGATAAAATCAACTGCATAAAATTCTGTATTTGGATATTCGGAAGCGACCTAATGTGAATTGAAAAATCAACTCATTAAAATTAAGGCTACCACCATTTCACGAAACGATAGTATGTTAAATACTTCAGTAGTCCAAATGCCACTCGCACAACTTTAATTTTGCAGAAATTTAAATTAATAAAGTTTTTTTTTGTAAAAGTATTATCAAATAAGAATATAATTTACCCAAATTCTAGTACTTTAGCACCATTTTGTAACTTTTCATAAACTGGTGCGCCTACATTGCCTTTAAACGCATACTCGTAGACATTGTGCTGGTAAAATAAATAATTATTGAATTCTTCTAGACGTTCAAAGTTTTCTTTGTTCTCATGTTTTTCAATTTGCGAAGGATGGTTCATTGTGAAAATTTTATAGATAAAATCTTTTATTTAATAAACTGAAATAATAGCATTTTAATTATTCTTAAATTATATGCGATCATAGTCTTAAACTAAACCAATCGTATGTGATCGAAAACATTGATCAAATAACTAAAATGACTCCAAAAAAGAGCTAAAGTAATCTACGTAGTTAGTGATCCAAATCGTTAGTTGAAAGACCAACTAGTTGACAACCTACCAACTAATCAATTTGAAACAACTAATCGATTAAATCATCAACTAGTTAAATTCTGAGATAGAGTTCCTATCCATTATCTGTTTATCCATTTATCTATTGGATATCCAGGTCTAAATTTATTAAGATATCCGTTTTACTATTGATATCCTGATAATTATCCGAATATTTGGATTTGTTATGGGTTTTCACTCTCATGCACTCATATGATAAATGGATGACGAATTTATCCGGATTGGACTTCTATTCTGAGATATTCCGTTGGTTCGTGTTGATTTGGCCAACCAACAAATTTAGTCACACGATAGGAAAAAATCGACTATAGTTGGCAACTAATCGATTGGAAAAAATTTTACCAACTTGGAACACTATACGTAGTGATACAAAGATTGTTGTACACCTTCCGAAGTCCATTTTTCTGAAATACCATTTCATCGAAGTCATATTACCGATAATCCATTTTACTAATTCTGGTCACTGTCGTTAGTTAGGATCAAGTTTAGAATTAGAGTTATGGTTAGTGCAATTTTTTTAAAAAAACCTGTCGGTGAAATGAGCTGTCAGAAAAATTGATTTCAGGAAGTTGAACCGGAACCGACACAAATAATCGAATCAAATCGATTAATCGTAAAGCTGATAAGTCTTGTGCCTGCCATGCTCTAGTGTCGTTACCCTAAAACATTTCAACAGCCAACCAAATTTTTAGATAAGGTGTATCAAAACTTACAACGTTAAAAAGGCCGATCCGCAAATTTTTTGCATAAATTAAGTTCTTTCTAACCTAACGCTAATATAATAGCGAATCCTGTTCTTAATGTTACAACAAATTGGCTGATTCGAATCAATGCTAATAATTTTTAAATTTAAATTCTGAATAGAAATTTCAAACAATAAAAGGAATGTAATAGAAAATGCAAATAAGGTTTATCTATTTTGATTATTCCATTTCTATTCTTTAGTTCAAAAATAATTTATTAGAAATTAAACATATTATGAACATGTACAAAAAATTGCTTAAATTAATTTTTATTAAATTTTTTTTTTTTGGGATTAAGGTAACCTCTTTGGTCTTTTGACTTTTATTAATAATTTTTTTGATAATATGATTTTATAAACCACTACAGAAAGAGTATACAATTGGTTATATGTATAACTTTTTTATATTACTTATTTAAGGAGTCTGACTAAAGGTTCCTTACAAATTGTTATATCTAACATTTCTGCTTGGATATTTTATTTTGAACCCTCTGAACTTGCATCTGTGTTAACATTACTAAGTCAAGTTATTATCTTAATCTTAGAATTATTTTATTCTTAAAATAAACCTTTTAGAGTCTTTTGTATTTATTTTTATAGTTAACCTAGATATTTCTATAATAAAACCAATACTTGCAGTTAGAGTTATATCATTTAACTATTATATTCTTGTAGAGTTTATTTGAACCTTTTTTTTTTTTTTTTTTTTTTGTTAAAGGTCATACTTGTGGTGATATTTTATTGACTTACATAGGGTTAGCTATTTTAACTATTTTTACAGAGATGAAAGTGCAACTAGTTACATGTATAACTTTTAGTTGCTTATTTAAGTAGTCCACCCTAAGGTTCTATACTAGATACCATACCTATAACCTACTAGAAGATTATTTATTTAAATCTTCTGATCATTCATCCTGTCATATTGGAATTCCAACTTATCCTTATATATACCTAACCAATATACTATTTAAGCAGTAAGATACCTATCTTTTTTGTATTAATTCTTAGACTATTACATATTTCAAAGTATATTACCTGTCAGTAAGATGCAAAAGGCTTCCTATTGTTAACTATCTACCTATTTTTAGAACACTAATACAAGCTACCTTTACAGAGTTTATCCAAACTCCAGCACTGATTTCATAATATATTCTTAGTACTTTTAGTATATTTCTGTTTTGAACTTAGACTCCTAATTCAGATAGCCCAAAAGGACTGTAATCTGTTCTTAGTATATTGAGGTCTGTTCAATATTCTTTTTCTTCAGTCTGAAATCTAGTAGTCTGGTTGATGGTACCCCTTAACCAAGGTTCTTGCTTACCTAATTCCTTCATATTGGTATCCATTTTCTAGATCTAGTCTTTACAGTAGTACTGTCAAAGATCTATATTACTTCTTTGCTTAGAATTTTCAAGTAAGCTTTGGTTTTCCAGTTCTACAGATTTACATAATTTAAGGACTTATTTTAGGTTTGCATTGTTTAGTATCGGTTTGCATTCCTCTGTGTAACAGGTTACACAGATGCCTAAGACTTGCTAATCATGCTAGTGTAATTATAGTTACAGGTATTCTATTCTAACTGATCGACAGAATGCTATTACTGTAATACTGTCTATATATTATATAGGTGATTATTAAATTTTGCTATCAGTGGGTTTTGAACTTACAACCTACTATTTGGAGGTATAACAACTTATTCACTTTACTAAGTCATTACACTCTCTTTATTTGAACCTTAGTATTTACTTTATAGTATAATCTCAGTATTTTAGTATATTTTTGTTTTTTCATCAAACTCTTAATTCAAATAGTCTATATAGAATTATAATTAGTTTATCAATATATTAGATTAGTTTAATATTCTTTTTTTTTTAATTTATTTTGATAGTCTAGTTAATAGTACTTTTAAAAATTTCAATTTGAAGGTTTTTGTTTGTTTAGATACAACAATCTTGATATTCATTTTTTTGAATTAGCCTTTATAGTAGTATTGTTAAAATTTTATAATATCTCTTTATTTAGATTTTCTCAAATAGACTTTTTGTTTTCTAATTTCAACAGATTTATATAATCACAAGAACCTATATAGAGTTTGTATTGCCTGATACCAGTTTGCATTCTTTTGTTAATCAGTTATACAGATGTCTTATAACTTGTCAATTATATTAATATGATTACATTATAGGTATTCTAATTTAATCATTAGAAACAGTTACTATAATATAAATATTATATAGATGATTATTCAAAATTTTGTCATTGATGAGATTTGAATATCTAACTTATTATTTAGAGGTTAACAATTAAATTTTTATATAATATAAAATAAGATATATTCTTTATAATAATAAAATTAAGAATAGTGATTTTAGTATAATAGTTAGACTGTTATCTTTCAAGCAGTAGATCTAGAGTTCAAATTCTACTAGTAATATAATTTTGAAAAATAGTTTTGTTCTAACAACTTAATTAGAGTATCTAAGATTGTAATTCTAAAATTCTAATTATATTAAAATTAAGTTTAAAAATGTATAATATTATACAAATAAATCTAAAAAGTATATATTTTATAAGAAGTTTATTTAGAAATCCTAAATAAAGAAATAATATAATCTTTAATAGTATTATCTGTAAAAATTTTGATTTGAAAAAAGAAATCTAGAATTGGTAATTTGTATAAACAAAAATTTTAATTAAAGAAATTTATTAATCTGATTACTAATTAAATTAGATATAAAGTTGTATAATGCAAAGCTAACTAAATTAGTAGTATAGAAGAACTTGCAAAAATATACAAGATATTAATAAGATTATAAAAAGAGTACTAAGATTATATGAACTTTACAAAAATATATATATAGTAGTTTAAAGATTACTTTGATTACAAGTATTGGTCTTGGCTATAATAATACTAGATTAGTTAAAAATTAAGTAATAAAAGGCTTTGATGAGTTTAGTAAAGCTTAAAAATTTCTTATATGAGTAAACTGCTTTAAAGACTTAGTGATTATAGTATATTTGTATTAATGAAACTAAAGCAGTTGGTAAAATAGATAGATAAATAAATATAGAAATTAGTATATTTAAATAAAAAACTTACAGACAGGTTCTAGATATAGCAGCTAGTATAGAATCTTTAGATAAACTATTTAAATTAAATAATAACTAAAGTTATATAAATAACTAGTTGTAATCTCTTTTTATATTGTCTTTTATAACTATTATAATATAATTACAAAGCTGAAACATATTATTAATAAAGTCTAGATTGCAAGTACTTATCTTAACATTAAAAAAAAAATAATAGTAAAATTTTTAATAAATAAAATATTTTAAAAAAATATATTTGTATATATTGCAAAATTCTCTATAATGTTATTAAATTTTTTATAAATATACAAAATTGTTAATTTTAATTAGTTTAAATTATATAATCTTTTTATAATTTATATAACTAATTTATGATATTTAATTTTTAAACAGAAATTGGACCTATAGCTTAATAGTAAAACTGCTAATTTTTTATAAACTAGGTTAATAGTTCAAGTTAAACTAGAGACAAAAATTTTAGAATTTTAATTTTATAATTTATAAGAAGCCAAATTAAATACAAAATATAAAAATAAATTAGAAATTCTTAGAAAAAAACTAACTTTGCAAAGTGAAGGCATTATATATAACAGTAATATTACAGAAGACTTGGCTATATAATAGTATTACACAAATAAGTTACCAGAAGATAGGACAGCATTAACATTTCTGTATTTAACTTATAGTACTTGATTAAAAGAATAATATCAAGTAACCAAACTAAAGTAGTAATTAATGTGATATATGCAAAGAAGATCTGTAGCAAAGAATTAGTTTAACCAAAATTGGAATATCTTAGACAGGTACTCAAAAATACTTAATAAATATTTTTTAAAGTAGTCATATATTACAACTTAAATAATAAACATTATACTTATATACAATAAGTCAAGATTTTAGGCCTTTTTGCAACACCAAGCTAATAGTATATCAGTAT